CCCCCTCCGCCCACGTTACACAAACAGAAATGATTCGGAAAAAATATGGAGGAAATTAGGCCCACCGGGGGTGTGCGATAGACTTACCTCCACGTGGTGCACCCTGGGCAACGTATATTCAAACGGCAAAAAAGTCTATTAACTGGCAGTTGACTTCTGACCTCAAACTACCATGACCCCCCTGGTTGTCATATTCGACCCCTACCACTGTACCCACCTTACCTTTTTCCACTTTTGTGTCTGTCTCTTTTACATCTTTGAAACTCTCTTCTGTTCCCCCTCTCCCTCTCGATTTGTTTCACTTTGATGTTCCTCCTCCTCTGTGAAGCCTGAAGTCAACTAAAGGGCTAATGATAACTTTCACTTTATTTGATATAAATAAATAAATAAATAAGTTCCACCGGAGTTTTACTATTCACTACTCAATATAGAATAAGTGCTATTTGTTTTTTTCCCAAGGATCCTTCGAAGAGATCCCTATTGAAACCATTATTAGCATTGGTAGGCGCAAAGTAACCTATGGTCTTTTTGGACGATTTAAAGCAACCGGAAATCATTTCACCTGAGAAATAATGATTCTGTCGGTTTAGCGAGGTAAATGCTCTCTTTGCTATGAACATACGCATGCAGTTGACAAATTCGTACGCCATTATTCTTAAATGATGTTCCTTGAGGTAGAGAGAAGTACTTTTTCAGAGACAACAATCGATTCTGCTGGCTCCTCTAGTCGTAACAAATCGATCAAGCTAGAGATTTCCACTGTGCCTTGCGCTTCAAGGGAGAAAAGCAAAGTCGTCTTCGACCGACCTTGGCTGAAAGATGCTTTGCAGTAACCGATGCATTAGCTCAACAGATCATATACCAACGCGATCGTGTACTTAGTATATTAGGCTTCCCATCTGATGTTAAGAGAACACCAGGGGTTTCAGCCAAGTTTAATTGACTTATTGCCAACAAACTTGATTCAGGCTAATTAGAAGATCATCACGAAAGTTACTCTTCCATATTTAAAGAGCCATTTTGGCTAGAGTAGATTGTATAGTGACTCCCGCAAGCACGCTTTCTACCTTCAGTTTAATTCTCACGAGGCATTTTAAAAAAAGAGGAAAAAAGTAATGGAGATTTTGGCTTAACTTAAACAAGAATGTGTCAATCAAATAAATGTAGGACTATCTAGAAAACAACGTCATTTCGAGAAATCGCATTAAGGCATTTGTATGAAATGAAAGAAAATTGATCGATTTATTAAGATGTGGTATATACCTAAGGTAGCGAATAAGTACACCTTTATTGAGAAAACTCCACTTTTAAGAAGTGGGGTACCACTTTCCAACTTCCCAAAAATGCCAGCGCAAGGAGAGGGAAGTAGCCTGTCAACTTGGAAAGGCGACATTAGGGAGAAAGTGAGAGAAGTGACTCAGAGGGGAGAAAGCTGACAGGAGAGAAATTTCATTTTCACTTTAAAGTGTGCAGCCCCTTAGACAGGATAGAAAACTCGGAGAAATACATAGTATGCACGAACAAAAAAGTTTTAATAAGTAGTCAAAGAAAGCAGGTTCTTTAAACACTGCACCACAAGCACATACTTGGGGTCATAGCTCTTCAAGACAGTTAGGAGCTGTCCAGATGCAGATAGATATGGCTCTGACATGGCACTGAAATGAGCCGCATTATGCACCGTTGTAAATGTTACGCACTAAACAGAAATTTCCACAGCCATTATCTTTCACAAATGCCCAAGTCTTTTGAAGGGAAGCACTGTCCAATATGCATTATCGAAAAAGAAATTACGTTTTGAAGTTTCGCCAATAGGAAACTCACTTTGTTACTCTTCTTCTGAAAAAAAGATTGGTGAATGGAAGTTACTAATTGTGCTTTGATGACAGCAGAAATACCACTACGCCGCAGATACACTGCCTTGGAACATGATTGGCGTACTGCTTACTCATTAATTACTTCCAGTTCAGTCGTTATTCCACTTTGCCCATCTGTGGGGAACAAGAACTGTTGAGACTAAATACAGCTTCCTTAACAATTCAACGCTCTTAGGACCGTACAGTCCTCTTTCGAAATAAGCTCCGTTGATACCAGACTCTTGACAGAAGACGCTATTGGCGTTTGAAACATGTTCAATACGTGTCTGTAGACTTCGCCTGATACACCACCAAAACTCATCATATCGCTGGTATCAGTCTGCTGTGAGACACTCGTGAGTGCGATAGGGTGCATTTTTAAAAAAAATAATAAATCGGGCGTTAAAGGGTTAAAATTGGATTAACAGAAAATAAAAAAGCACATCATTTGGCTTTCCTCAATACACACAACACATATTCATTCTCTAAAAGATCATTTTTGCCGTGTAGATTAACCACTTAGTGGACAATAAGGAATGGAAAAGTGTCCGAAAAGGAGGTTTCGAAACCTGGTTAACGGCGTCTGAATCTAGAGACTATTCGCACAGGTGTTGAGCCTACAAGGTCGTAAATTTACGAAAATGCAAACAAATCGTGAGGTAACTACGTAAGACTTAAACCTGCGAAGTTGAAAGAATCTGGCAGTTATTTAGGACTGGTAAAAATTATATTTATACGAAACGAAAGTAACAATTTTTTTACGAAACTCCTTTATTCGACTTTGATACATTGGAACATGATATTTTCAGATGTCAACCAAAAATTTAACCAGATTAAAAGTTAAAAAAAACGAAATAAAAATAATTCAAGAACGCAAACTCCTAAGTTTTCGTCTCACAATTTCACACTATTTGATTTAATACTGGAAGTCGTATTATCTAACCGTCAAAATTGTATTTATATGCTAATAATATTTTAAAATCAAATTGGCCAAGAAAATCTAATTTAAGCTCTAATTTCCAGCAAGTAAACAATCAATCTATTTTAGACGGAGTTGGAAGATGTTGCCAAAATAGGCGACTAGATTAAAAAAAGCAATGAAAGTAGACATTTATTCATTCATCGAGAACCCGATATCTGGGGGACGATTGTTACTCACCAACTTTTACATTTGAGGCGGCACACAATTCCGCCGTACAATTCCTCCTTTTGACTAAAAAAAACCAGATTACCAGAGACGTTTAAGCAAGAGCGAGTTGAAGAAATTTAGAAGGTTTAAATGAAAAACAAAATGCCGGACGGACACCGGACAGTTGAAAGGTGACGTATACTGATGGCTCACCCTCTTCTCTCTTTTTTTGTTGTCAACTAAGTCACTTTCTGTCCCAGCTACCGGACATGCACTGTCACAGAATGGGACTCCACATTAACAGACGTGGACAGTTATACGGTAAAAGGGGTGGGCCTCATGGAAACTCCAAATGACTCACCTCAAAGGTACATTGGAAGGGTTTCTCGCCAGTATGCACCAACTGGTGTCTCTTGAGTTTACTTGACTCTACAAACGCCTTTCCACACTCTCCACAGATGTGGACCCTCGGTCCATGGGTATGGAGATGTTTCCGCATTGCCGCCGTATCTCGGAAAGCCTTTCCACAACCGAGTTGTGGACATACCACGCAACGTATTGGACCACCACCTCCGGAATTACTTGAAACCGACTGCTGTTGACTTGATTGCTGATTATGAAGTTGACTAGAAGCGGTTCCACCGTTCGGTCCTTTGTTAGCATTGGCGGTTAGTTTGACAACTGATGAGGTACCAGAGGGCGAATTTGCCATCAGAGGAGCCACACGACGCTGGGTGATGGAAGGAGGGGTGAAGAGGCGACGTGTGACAGCTCCTGAAGGATTTGTGGAGTTACTGGTTCCTTGGGTTGAGATAGTAAGCACTTGCCAACCAGAATGAGATTTCAAAGCACTACCGTCTGCAGACCGAATAGTTGTATTAGACATTAGAGCTGGCGACTTGTAGGTGAGAACATCTAAAACGAATGAAGCAGAATACATCATTACTAAGAGGCAAATACTATTTCATTTTATATTGACAAGTAGTCTGTACATTTCTAAAGCAGATTGCTAACAACTCACTGCCATCTTATACAGTGAAATGATGATATTCAAATGTGCATCTTTATTCATAAAAATAAAGCATCATCCAGACAATTTTCTAACAATGACAAGAGAGATGTTTCACCTATACAGTGGGTTAAGCTGCAGAGAAACCTGCGGTCTTGAAGGAACAAATTCAGTGCTTTTAATGATCCATAACCCTTCAGGAGTTTACCTGCCTCCATATTCAACCAGCAGGAAATTCAAGCAATTATCTCCTGTCAAGCTCATTGACACATGATTTGAGAGGAGAGAAGGCATTCTTGAAATCATTCTATTTGTTTTTATTGGCCAGAATTAGCCAATTGGGTTGATAATACATGCTACAACTTTATGACCCCCGAGTAGACAAAAGTGCACATTGACCACTGTGTCATAGAAGAGCTTTACTCCAAGGCCCATAACCACAATGTTCGCGGAGGTATTCCGAAGCTATTCTTGTGAGAAACTAACATTCTACCACCAGTTTTGCCGGTTAGAATTAAGCAATACTTTCAAACAATTGGGGGAGGAGGGCACCGATGTATTTGGGAAGCAGTTATTGAAACCACTGACCTGGATTTGAACCACACCATGTGGTGTAGCCACAACCTGACAGCTTCATGTTGCAAAACACACAATGAGAATTGGACATTGTTTACAACTGTAGGCTGCAAATCTGTGTGGAACTAATCGGCTTTAAACCACTCAGTAGGTAACTAATAGTTGCAATGGGTTTCAGAGAAGCACTAATTAGCCTTTTCGGGTTTAGCTAGAAAGTAGATTTGCAGAGTTAGTATGGGCAAAATGCCGCGACGCCTGTAGCCAAATTATTTGCAAAAAATAGTGGGTAAGAAATCCACAAAGGAAAGAAATGCGAAGTTAAACGTGATGCATAGGTTCCTGAATAAGGCCTGTGAAAACTAACGGAAGACGTTAAATAGATTAAATTTATGAGAAATTACTTTGCAACATTGAAAAAAACATTAATTTTCACTAAATAAGTATAATGTTAATTTAATTATGTCTTTCAAAGATAATGGTCTTTTGTTAAAGAGGGCTTAAAACACCATCTATATATATGAGAAAGTAGCTGGTGTTGGGTTAACACCTCAATTTACCGATCACTCAACTCGGAAAACAGTGGACACGAGAAGTTGCCCTGGAGCGTCCGAACTGGTGGAACGAATTATAACTATTAAGAAAAGTACTCACAAAGTGAATAAAAATCGATTTTAGATATCCTTGCTCACACACTCACAAAGAATCCATTTATTTTGACCGCTCTATTTCCCTTATACTATTCACGTCCTACGATTAAAGCTACAACGAATTTAATCCTACATTGCGGAAAAAAGCTAGATTTCGAGAAACTAATTCCACTTCGTAGACAATGTGGACGCTGAAATAGGAGGATCTATCTCAGTGGTGAGTCTAGGTCAAAGCCTGCAATGCTAGATCAACTAACATTGGTCAAGCAAATGAATCCAAAGGTTTATAACCGAAGCAAGTACGTCGTCACTATTTACAGATCTGAAAATGAGCACATGTAAATATTTATTTAACAAACGTGTTGGAAAAGATGAATAAAAGTATTAGACCATTTGCATAAAAGCGGAGAGTCGAAGGTGGGGAATATGCAATGAGGTTAGCGCAATTCAACTATTTTTCATCATCTCTCTCTCTCTAAAATATATCCCTCCCTCTCTTTCTCTCTCAGGCAGAAAACAAAGGCTCTCCCAATTTTAGAAAAGCAAAGAAAATTAAATAAACTTCGATAATCTTAAGAACAAGGAGCATTCATAATGCCGTACTCGAAATCCTAGGTAAAATTCAAGATTAGCGCTCTATAAAGATACTGCGGAGATGGGGAGGGGCCACTTCAAATCGATGAAAGAATCAAGATCTACCACAGAAACTCAAGACCACAGATTCTATAAGGTAGTTCCCAGTTCTATAATGTCATTTAAGACACTGCAGACGAACGCATATATATACGATTCGAAACCGGAATTAAAAAATTATAACGTTTTTACCACAAAAAGATAGAAAACAGACTACTTAATCGCATGGCGATAAGACTTCTGAAATATTCTATCAAAGGATCATCAATGTTACGTTTTCCATTACAAGGAGCATACACAAGTCTGATCGCTTAAAAGCGCATTAAAAGAGACTCTTCATATTCCAATGGCATTTACAAATAGGAAGTTCCTGCATGATACAGTAAATATATTTTTACCTATAAATGTAGATCTTAGGTTATGAAGGATGACACAAAGTAAAAATTGAAATCATTCAAACAAACATCAACGACCTTTGCTACTAACCATTTTATTCAGCCTCGTTCACGGGCAAAAAAAGCTAAAACTAACTTCAAAAGCGGACAGACGGTATTTGGAATAATTGCATTTCATCTTTAAGTGGATTTAATGTAATTTAAAGGAGAAGTGCGGTCTTACATAGAAAAATCCATTTAATGTAAAGAGATTAGGAAGAAGGTGAAGGAGCATCGGTATGAATGAAAGTGAAATTCATTAATCCTAGCTATTTTTTGACAAGAGACTTACTAACAGACAAAACCAACTAACCGACAGGCAAACATGAAATTAAAGCGCAAAGTAGTTTTAGGAAGAATTACACAATACCAAAACCGCCTTACCTCCAGTTCTCGAAACGACAGGATTTAAAAGGGTAGTCGGTTTTGAGTAAAAGAGTGTCAAATTTCCAGGCCAAGTGACAAGTTCCTTTTTAGCCGCCACATTGGTAGGTAGACGATAAGTGGCGATGGGAAGAATTCGCAGACCTTTGACAGTTGTGGCATTCGCAGTTACCGATGAAGTAATAGAGGATGAAACCATGTTGGCAGTGGCACAAGTGGTTACAATTTTCAACTTCTGTGGAGACGCGACGCCACCATTGACAACCGGAGCAGTGACAACTATACGTGTTGTTGCGGATGGATGAGAATTCTTCGTTGGTGCATTCGCGGTACCACATTCTCCACCAGAGACTCCAATTCCATTGTCATCGACTTTGAGAGAATGCCAGTCAGATGTAATTCCAGAACCACCGCCGTTAAGAAGAGACAAAGGGGTTTCATCGGAGAAAGAAAGAAGAGAGGAATTGATATCCTCAGTTTTTGTAACGACATCCAATTCCGATCCGAAATCGTCATGTTCATGCTTTATATCTTCTAAAATATTAACATAGAATGAACACAAATATCTGAAAATAGTTACTAGTCAAGCGCAGATGAAAGTTTATAAAGCATCAAAAAGTCGAGAGATGCTAGGCAACAAACCTAGACTTACCGTTTTTATTTAACAAGGAGAAACAAGAGAGTGAAGATTTGGCACTTTGGCTCGGTAAAAAATCACCCTGTTTCATAGGAGATTCTTCAAAACTGTGAGTTTCGCTACTTGGTTCCGAACTATCACTGCCGATAACTTCTTCTCGGAGGCCAAGCAATTCACCCGAATCCATGAGGAAAAGGTCCCCATAAGTGTCATTACCGCACATATCACCGCATACTTCACTTGATTCCAGAGCAGACTCAACAGAATTTTCTGCGGGACTTTCATTAAAATGCTCACAAAAGTCTAGTTTTTGGTGTTGATCCTCAAATATGGAATCAATCATTTTTGCTTTTCATAAAATCGAAAGCATTTCAAAAGAAGGAAAGCGTCTAATGGCAGAAACAAACTAAATATACGTCCTTGACAGTTGCATACTTTATTTAAGAAATAATTTGTATATGTGTTGTGAAATATTTAATAAATTATTTATGTTTGCTTTTCTGTTTATTATTTGTTGAAGAAAGCACAGTTCTAAAATGCTTTTAATGCATTTGCTATCTTGTACAATTCTTAAGCAATCTGAAAGATGATCAAATTTTTACTTTTTATAAAAGTTTTAAATTAGTAGTCGCGATTTTCTTTAAAAATTTTTATAACTCTTTGGTCTGTATTTATGCTTCTTAAGAACGTATGCTGAATAAATTTGAACATCTAAAAGAAAATTTTAAATAGGTAAACACAAGCAAACAAAGCATTTACCTTCAAATATGCCTTAAAACATTTGAATTCATAAAATGCGATGAAAATTGTAGTCTCTGTGAGATTTCGATACAATTCCTTTTTGTATTATCAAAATTACCATACCGCACGATATTAATAAATAAACTGTTTGTGAAATAATCAATTTCGCTATTACAAGAATTCAATTCATCAGATTATTATGATATTTCATAGAATATAGTCCTCCAATCTCTCAATAACTTGATAACTGCTCTAGCATTCTTACACTATACCGGAGTGGTTGACACGTTATCTGAACCAAAAGAGAAATGGCTTGTGTTAAATCGGTACATTCAATCAATATCGCTGAAATGCTGTGTGACAAACTTTGCAAATTGCTAAAGCGCAAATAATTTTATTGAAGCCTTTTGATTTTGCCTAGAATATCAGCATCAATTGGTCTCTAATTCTTGGTTTTTTGAAGACATATGTCTTATAATACTAACCCGTTTTACAAGACAAGAAAATCGTTTTAAGTCTTTGGTTTATGATTTATATTATTTTATAATTAATTTTAAGCCTTTTAAATAAATAATGAGCTCAATTATGCCTTTTGTGCAACTACTTCTATTATCCCTTTAAGAAATCCGCGTTAAGTTAGGAAACGTTCCTTTGAAAGAAAGATTTTCCTACAGTACCAAAATCCTTTACTAATAATGACTCATGGCTGTTCTGGAACTTTGTAGTAAACCATTTTAAATTAAGGAAGGGTTAAAGGAGGAAATGGTAGGAAATTAATAGAGAGAAAAGAAAGTGTACTGTATTGAATAAAGTAAAGTTGCAATGTATTGAATAGGAGAAACGAAATTCGATAAAACAGTTGACCTCTTTCATGTATTTTTTAAACATTAATGGGCAATTGATACTAAAAGCAGAGTTATAAGTTTGCAGGCACGCAATACAATTAGAGACTGAACAGGCCCATGAGTCAGCGTGGGTGAGTACTACGCATACCTTAGTTGCTTCTGTGTTTTACTCTGAAGAACTCTGTACAATGAGTGGACTTGTCGTACATAATTGTGCTCAAGATTGATAGATTTTCCTCATCTGGGATGTAGTGAATTATTGTGATTACAAAACCTCTCAATCTGTAATAGGGTTAATCGATAAGTTAATATTTTGGAATAATACCAATTTTTATTGATACGATAGTCATAATTGATTCGAAAATGGAAGACAATTTTAGAATTCGTTGAAATGAACTTAAAGCACTATGGTCTGGTTGAAAATCATACCTTAGATATATTATCAATTGTAATTCAGAAACATGTTTCAATTTTCATTGTGGGAAAGCAACTGAAACTGAAAATAGCGTGAATCAACCAGGTGATGTTTACTGCTTCACTCAAGGAGTTCAGAAGTTCGGAAAATTTAAGTCGTTTCCTAGATCATTAGGGGAAAGTTAATTTATAACTATCGCGGCTTATTAACGGCCTATTTATTTAGGGAGTTAGGTTTACTAATTAAATTTAACTACTCATTTGAAAGCCTGAAAGCAGGCTGTGTATGCGTGAGCTTACGCAAAGCAGAGTTCATTTAACTTAAAATTTGGCAAGCGAACTGGCGTTAGATGAATGAAATGTTCTTTCAAGAAGAGGGAAAATGGATGAAAAAAATACTTTATCAGAACAGACTACGCGAATAATGGGAAGAAAATATGCGGTATAATTTAAATGTGAATAAGTCGCAAGTAAATAAAATAAGTTTCTTTTCTAAATAAAGAAAAGGAGCTAAAGTTATTAATTAGTGTATTATATTTCCGTGGTGGAAAGTAAAACAAAGTGCTTTGGCTGGCAAAACGGCGGTTAAGTCAATGTTTTAAAAATGATTGAAGAATTCAAGTTTTCTAACGTGTGAATGAATGTGAATAAAAATGACTTGTCGAACATTGAACTAAAACCCACAAAGCACGCATAATTTTATTAGTAAGCTGCCGACAATGAATTTTTGTAGGATTACATTGTACCTCCCAAGAGGACAAGTTGTCAACACAAATTTGTCTGAATTGGTAACAGAAAGAAATTGATCTGAGGGTCTATTTGGTATTTCTTAAAGATAATCATATTTAAAAATGGTGAACAGGAGATGGTAGTACAAATTGTACAAACATCATTTAATTATTTGACTAGACAATAAGAAAGACAGTGAGCCCCTCTATGGAGGGGGGGGGGGCTTGGGAACACGCTTCACATTTACTTTATTTTTCTTAAGAAAATCTAAGAGACATGTGAGCAGGTTGATGAATTATAAAGTTGAGATATAGTATACAAATTTTCTAGGCGAACTTGAGACATAAATGTGGGGAAATATAAGTGTTGAAGTTAGTTTCAATTACTTTTCCCAATTTTCCTTCATTGAGTTAAATTCTTCAATAATATTTGAAGACTGACTAATTTCAGAAACATAAATAACAGCAAAAAGGGCAAAGTGCCATATTTAGCAAGATGATAGAATATTCGAAACATTGTTTTATTCTAAATTAGAATGTCACATGATCAAGCAATTTAAAAGTGAAGTAAACAGATGTAAGCTATGAAAATCTCAGTTTCTCTTGCATTATACTTCTCCTTTTTACAATGGGATCAGTATTTTAACTAGTTGTAAATCTGCCGCAATTTTCAAACTCCTGACCTAGAGCTGTCAGTCAGAAATTTGGCGTGATTTGGTGGCATGTTGAGTGGTTTCGCTAAAAGAAAACGGGCTTTGGATTCACTCTTTCGTGACGATATATCTTTAAGCTTCGGTGAATTCATATGTATGGTAAGTCATTTTACGAATAATTTACAGTTTTAGCTGCTAAAGTCTCAAGGAAATTATCGATTTTCTGCTCTTACTTCAAGTGGTGAGGAAATTTACGTTTCTATTCCAGAGAAATTCAGAAATGCATACTTTTTTCGTGCAAGTATGTTCTGTTATTCTTAATATTAAATTCTAGATTCGTTTGTTATTTGCTTTCCTCTCGAAATGCCCAAAGTTAGGGGCGAGATTGTCTGTATGCTTAGTGATGACCAAGTACTAACATTGGCTAGTAAACCGGACTGGCCTACTATATTTACCAACCTACCAAAAGGAAGGAATATTGATAAAGGGGAATCATATGTGGATCCGGACCTGTTGCCACCTTCGAATAGTGAGAGTGAAGAGGATGAAGAGGAATCAAGCAGCGAACCGATTGAAAGTAATTGTGTTTAAAGCATATGATTTACTTTTCTTGTATATAATTTTTTTGTAAATATTCCTAAATGTAAAATGCGTAATATGAATTACCTAATTATGCTTTAGAGGTATCTTTACAAATGATATTCATGATATAATTCGATTTTTTATTATATTGGCACGTTTATTTTCACGTTTGTGATTCAAGCGAATGTGTCAGTTTTGGGTTGCCTTCTTTAGCCATCGTATACTAATAACTTAAGGTCTTAAGTATCGGTACGGTCAGCAGAATTCGAGTTTCTCACGAGGGTGGCTTGTTTCTGCTACAGCCCATTTATTAAAGGTCTTTGGAAATTGTTTATGTGCTATTTTATCTATTTTCTGTAATGATTTTAGAACCCAATGGTAATAGTATTTGGTATTGTTGAAGCATATATTCTCTTAGTGAATTTTACTGTTCTAATTCGCCCGTCTGATTACTACAGACCTGATTGCTTTCGAATTCCTCAAATTCGTATATGCTATCCCGTGTGTCTGATCATCTGACAGACCTCTGAGACATGGGTACTTGGGCTTGATTAACTTACCCCTCCCACCCATTCTGTCTTATTTTTCCAGCTAAATACCTGAATTTGACGTAGTGAAATAACTTATGACCTGATCATGACACGCCCTTCCTAAATTCTTCTGTTTCTTTGTGGGTAGTATCTAGTACATTGTAATATCGTTTCTCGTTTTCCATGCCGTGGTCATTGGTTTTATCGTCCAGGGTTGTGGTAGTTAATGACTGGTCATTTAAGGCTCTTCATCTTTGCCTCTTCCAATTCAAATCAATTTGGGAAAATTCCCATGTTTTTAGAGAAGGGTGGGCACAGTAATAGGAGCTGTTATGTGTCAATTGCAATTACTTTAGCTTAGAAAGATTGATCATTGCTACTACTGGTGAACAAAAGAATATGTAAAGTTAGAAATTATATTGTGCCACTAATTGGTGCGCTAGTTGTTTGATAGACGTTAAGGTCGTTAAGTGCGGAGACAACAGATTGCTTATTGTTATTGATGAAGTCAAAGTCATAAGATAAGTAAATAAAGCAAAGGTGATGTGTTTAAACAGAAGATTTCAAGTCGATGAAGATAACTTTCAAATGACGTGCTTGTGGTTTGGGTAGGAGATAATAGTTTTCTTACTTATTCTCGCTTCTCACTCTTTTCGCTGTCCATTTCATCACCGATCATTACGCCATCGCCAATCTCAAGATCTCCAAATTCACTGTGTTCATTCACCTCTTCCTTATCTTGGGTGAAGTTCACAGAGCTTCCGAGAATCTGTGAAGTCTCCACGAATTCACTGAATTTGCGCTTCCGAACCACATTGCTCTTATCCAGAAGACCCATTACTACGGCAATGAGACAGCCCTAATTAAAACAAATAAATGTGAACAAAAGTCATTCCTCGGATTTAAACGTATCTGTAGTCCTTCTCCAGTTGTTTCTCTTAGCTCCTCAATAAACAAAGAATGAGTAACTGGACAACTATCCTACCTTACTTCAGTAAGCCCCCTCTTTTCCAACATTCGGTTTGCCTACATTCATCTCTCCAAGCCCGTTTCTCCTTACATCAATTTCCTGTTTTCCAACACCCACGTGGACCTAATTCACTCCTAGTCGGGTAATTTTAGGGCGACTGCTGTATCACGTTAGCCAGTTTTTGCAAAGTGGTCTCTAAGCTTGATTTGGTCCGATGATGAGATTGGCATTACACATTGGAGACCATGCCATGTTCCCAACTCAGTTCGACACTTAAATTTTCACTACTACATTTACTTGAAAGAGACGAAAGTAAAATTCAATGGCTTCGGGCTTAAAATCTGGTCCTGAAACTTCACATCAGTTGCCGTGTTTGCCACTTTGCAGTAAAAGGACTGCCATGACAAGGTGTTCTATAGCGCTCCTCCTTTGAAGTAATTGGTGTCGGTTTTCAAGAGTGACTTCCAATGCGTCCGACTAATTGCCATAACTGGGTGGTGATGCCACCCTCGTGAAATACGATTGGCTCGAGGATTACTGTCGAGCCAATTCCACCATAGGTATCTCTAGTTTATTCTTAAGGCTTAGTCATTGATCGAAAATAGGCTTATTTTCTCATCCAAAATTTATCAAAATTGAGTGGAATTCACAATTTTTCAGTTGTTCTTCGGGAGGTTAAAAGACCTGCAATACCAGATAGAACTTCACGAGTTACCATTAATTCAAATTTTGTGAAATCAGGTTTTGATTGAAAGATGTCATGGCCCGGTCTCGATGCATGTAAAAGGACTTAAGTCTGGTTTGAGATAAGCGTACGCCGTTTCCCAAACTAATGCAAAAGGTTGCAAGTGAATAGAATGTCTTATAGTGATTAGAGAAAGTTGCTTTAAATCTGTCCATTATCGAGACACTGACAATTGACGCCGATGTTGTGGACAAACTCAAATCAAATGCATACCTTCTGATAGGATGGCCAATAGATTTTATTTGGAACATAGGGCAGTACGTTATTTTCAAAAGAAGTAATAAAAACGCTGTAACATGCTGATATCAAGAATCTTTTAATTGATCCAACTGTCCCTTCATTCTTATTCCATGCACTAATTAATAACCGAATGCACTAGTACTATTCATTCAAGCAATTTATGAAGTTTACCACTCAAAGCTCTGCTCTTAATATGAAATAAACCCAATTGCTCAAACTTACTTGAACAGAATTCAACATCCAGAAGATAAAGACAATATACGGGCGGTTGTCATAAATCATAACCACGCCGGTCACGAATACTGCCAAACTGAAAGCCGTCATGGTCACACTTCCATACATCTCGTTTCTGTAATGAAAATAGGAATAAGAATTATGAATTTTATGTAGACTATGCTAAGTTAACATTAGAGAGACGTTGTATAGAGAAAGGTGGATTTAGTAGAATAATTTGTGCTAGTAGAAAAGATGGCATTAATTGTGATTTCATGACCGACCGATCAACCAATCGATAAGTTCCGCACGTTGAAAACAAATTCACTCTGCAAATTAGGCATCAAATTAGTATAAATCTGTATTGCGGATACTTGGAATACATGAAGGTAATCAATTTGATAATTCTAGACTTCAAGGGTGAACCTTCTCTCTGTGAAGACCGAAGTCAGCTAAATGGCTCGAACCTTCCCTCTATGAAGCCCGAAGTCAATTAAAGGGCTATGATAACTATCAAAACGCCTGCCATTTGAAATAAATAAATGTAGCTGTTCCAATTCAACTTTCTTGGTCCTAGGGTTTCAGGAAAGGCAACTCTTTCTTAAATTGATCCAACTCATAGAATATGGTTGTGCTTTGTTTGACAATCTTAGTGTTCTCTGTGTTTAGATAATTTTCCATTCTTCAACAATGAGTATCCCAATTGTTTGATTAAACATATTTGTTAAAATATATATTTACCCAATTCTTTAAATGAATAGCCAGAATTGCACTTACTGTAGTGCTTCAATAATTTTGGGGTGTAGATAGGCTGGAGTATCGATATTACAGAGCAGTATAGTGCAAGCAGCAAGTGAAACGAGTAGGAAGAGTGAGGATTCGGCCATCGCAATGTAGCTGGAGAGTCCTGTAGGTGAGCACATCAGTCCCGTTCCATAATCACTGGCAGATGTTGAACAGGCAATCACTGACACGATAACTGCATTCACAACCCAGGCGATACAAATGTTCATCTTCCAAGAACTCCTTAACTTTCCGTTTATCAGGGCATTGAAGATGTAACAGCTATTCAAACATTGCCAGCCCAGTGCAGCGCATGTGAAAAAGTGTTCTAGAGCTCCAATTATCTTACAAAGGACTTCAATTTCTTCCAGTAATGGGAAGATCATGAAACAGAGGTGGTAGCCGATGAAAGCCATGGTCAAGTTGAGCTTGACTTTAGTGTGATCTCGAAGTTCTGGAAGCGTATTCTTCCAACTCAAATAAAGGGCTAACACAACCAGAGAGGCGGCGGATATTGAATTGGTAGCGATGTTGAGGAAGAGTTTAAGCAACTCATACCACTCTTGGGATACTGCACCAGCCGTTTTCCAGAAGGAGTCGTCATCATCTGGATATGACATGGCTACTGCAAATGACCCCGTACCATTACACCGACACACCGTGTAAGTCACGTTGGATTTTATAACAGAACATTGCTCAGAATTCCATCTACTGCCATTTTTCTCGTCCCAGTAGACACACTTCACCTCGTATTCCATAAGTCCCTCACCAGTCTCTTCAACACTCTTAGCCTTCCAATGCAAACAATCTGTTCTTCTCGCTGTAGCGCTCTCTTTAAACTCGTTTTTGATTAGTAAATTGATTGTGTAGTCGTACAGAGTGTTTTCAACCGAGGTGAGCGATCTTACGGAACTTGTTAAAACTGGGGAGTTGATTGAACCTGATTTTAATTTATTATCATTTTCGGCATCCTTCCAGAAGTATTGTTTGGGTAGAGTGAGTATATCCATAGTTTCACTGGGCGTATCAGCTCCTAAAATCGATACCGTATAGGTCTTCACATCGCTATTCCTCCAACTGGTTGGTGATTCAAAGACCTTCATTGGCTGCACACCATTAAAGGTGGGAGCATTTTTGAAACTTGAAAAGCTGGTAACGAAGTTAGTTTTTCGCGCAATTTCGATAGTTGAAGAATTTTCGAGTCGGAGAGCTCTCAACATGGCTGCCATAGCTTCAACAATTTCTGGTGGTTTAGTTAGATAAGTATCCCGCAGTTCCCTCCAAACGTTCTTATGGCTTGGTTTAAGAAGAACATCAAGGAATTGAAGTAGGTAATCTAAGGTGTCTTCTGCCATGTTTTGGAGTAGTTCAATTTCAAATGCGCTGGATTGTTCAACTATCGAGAGCCGATTTAAGAGCACAACTCCTGACCACAGGAGCTTCTTCTCATCTTCGGACCCAGAAATTATAGACTGGTTTACTAGAACATCTTCTACGATATGAAGGAGGGAGAGAATAGCCGACGGGGATGATATTAAGCTTACTCCTCGAGCCATTGAATAGATATTATCCTGAAACAATGATAGATAACGCATTAAGTACAGTATGCATTTATGCCCCTAATTACAACACATCACGGCCAAGTCTTGATGCTGATATGATGAAGTAGAGGGCAATCTTGTAAACCTGCTGAAATGTAGCTTAGCAAGGCATACGCACTTTGATAAGCCAGCAGATATTAGCTTATGAACGATGGAGCAAATTCGGAAGTATATGTGCCAACACGTAGATAATATGAGCACAGAAGTTGAACCCCCCCCCCCCCCCCCAAGGAAGCTGAACGCGGAAACCTAATGGGGTCATGGGCTAGATCATCTTCATGTCTCACTTAGAGAGGGAGAGGATTTGCTGCCACGGAAACTTCTTGGATCTTACTTACATTATTTATACGCTTTCACTAAATAAACATTTTTAATAAGCTCCTAACAAGGTCAAAGTGGTTAAGATGCCGGTTATCTTCACCAGTTGGATTGAGTGAATTCGCGCAATTTTTTAATGTGCTCGTAATTGGTTATTAACAGATATACCTGCTCCCGTTTAAAAATATAAAGCTGATTCTTTGAAAACAGGGAGAAAGCTGGTTGCTTTTCCCATCTCCAGTCGCGACTACTGCCACTCATCTAACTCAATTATAAGTTTAAATCTCAAAATTCGGGAGAGTCGTTAAAACAAAGACGATTTTATTTCCATTGAAATAGGCAATGTAAAAGCAATCAAATTTTCTTTGAATATTGTTGATAATTGGGGCGAATTGACTTACAACACTGTTTTCCAGACAAACCCCATTGGTTGAAAGCCGGCAGTTCGAAGCACTTTGACAAGGAACAACCTCCGGAAGAGTTTCATTGGAGCTGCATTCACCCATCAAATGCATGTAACTTGATCTTGGTGTTCCGCAGGAAGCAGCACGTTGGAGCCAGAAAGCTAAAATGAAAATGACAGAACCAATGAAAATTCAAATCGAGTGCAAAAGGTATCAGAAAATTATTTCACTACTCCATTAATAATCTAGCAGATGATCTTCAGCCCCAGTGGTCAAAAGATCTCAAATACGCATTAGAGGAGGCTATTATAGGGGGGGGGGGCGAGTCACTACAGTGGGAAAAAATTTCAGATAACCTTATTCAGGTCGTTACCATTGCTCACCACGAACAGGTTAGAATGAACACCATAAGAATCGATTTGTGGGCCCAAATGTACTCACACTAGTGTAACTGCGACATTCGCACAAGCGAATTCTAGAAGTGAACCGAAAATCTCCAATCTGAATTCCCGTGTCCCCAAATGACTACACATCTATTAACATGAATGAATCTTTCGCAATTCAGTAAGATTCGATTTTCTAAAAAAAGTCCTTTTTCCCTGGGTGTAGTTCAGGTGTAGTTCATAAAGCCTCATGATGCCTAATACAAATTATTGATGCAGTAAATATTTAAAATCTGAACTTTTGTTCTGAAGGTTTGTTTCTATCCTTTGCGTCGAATTTCACATTCAACCTGTAAGAAACCATGCTGCAACTCACCAAACATGTTCACCCCGCCAGAAGCAATATGGACGGCGTTCATCTTTGGAATGGTAGCTATCGATGATCCAAAATACACTCCGGAATTAGGATTTTTCGGATAAAAAGTTGACGCATCTTTAAAGAAGGGTGAACTTGTTGTCATTAGTGGAAGCCCATTTCTATATAGTTCCATAGTTATACCCATAGAATTTTCTCCATTTGTCGCAACTATACCAACGTTTACCCATTCGTCCGTCTTCCAGTAATTAGTGGAGAAAATTAGATAGATTGAATCAAATGTGACCAGCTTAACGATCAGGTTGAAGCTATTTGGAATGGTGGGGTATTCAATTGCTACTGAAATCCCTTGATAAGTGGTTGGGCCAGTGGACATAACCATATAATTATTCTAAAATGAAAATGAAAAATAGTGTCTACTGAATTTTAGAAGGAGCAGTGAATAAATGAAGCGTAAATTACCATGTCAACTATCGATGAATCCATTCGTTTGACTAAAAGCCAAAATGACAAGGAGATTTCTGAACATGACACCATCAAATTGTTCAAGCAGCCACTTAGTTTCTTAGAAATCTTTCTTCCGGTAAATGTACTGAGATCAGCTGCCTTATTTGGATTTCCGAACCGATTTGGAAATGAACCTTCGAGGGGGAAAATGACATCTGCTCCAGGATAGCAGACTTCCACCATAGAAGGAGGAACCAGATCGTCTTGTTTTGAACTCTCGATAATAGCTACGTTGGATACACAGACACCCAGCTCCTCTCCAATAACTATCTTCGGAAAAGGACTGGAAGTATAGTCTAGAGGAGAGAACTGGCTGATAGTACACAAGGTCGGATTCAAATTTTGAACATCCATGTCGTTCAATTGAAGAGTGACACTCCCATCAGCAATGAAGACCTGAAGATTAATCCATTTACCACCCACGTGCTTAATGTCCTCTAAGTTAGCCCAACTGCTGCAGTTCTTCGTATTACTGCGATGTTCAACTTTAAGCAGCTGCTCAATTGGGTTCAATGTGATCGTAATCCCCACATTGGCTCTACCTGACGGAGAAGCCAACAGGACGTAATCTCGATTCGCATAGCCATGGTCTCCGTTGAGAAGGAAATCTAGCGTAAATATGATCTTAGTGCACTGGGAGAGGGTGTAGAGACACGAGTAAAAGAGATTTGTGTACTTTCCACCTGGTCGAATGTCGCCAGTTAAAACAATATGCGATAGTTTAGAATCCGTGGTACACATTGCAGCTCCATCGACATTGCGCCTATCTTTAGATGTCACAACATTGGATGTGAGAAGTCGACCCGGTGCAAGATAAGTTAGAAGACCATTCATGGGCCAATAGTGTGAAGCCTTTGCGAAGTTAGTTCCCTCAGCTCTTGTCAGTCCCATGAAATCACTGATTCCCATTTCAGAATCAATAATTGTTTCCCAGATATTGACTATGCCTACAGCAAGTCGATAATCTCGATTACTGCTAGGAGGTATAATCAGCATTAAGGAATTGTTTGAAAATGTGTCAGAGTAGACTTGCTGTCCATTTCTCCGATAGGCCGAACTATTTTTGCAGGTAGAAAGTAGATTTCCATTAAGGAAGAGATAAACTTCATCACCCATCCACGAGAGTGCCACATGGAACCACTGATTATGGCGAGAGGTCTGTGTTAATATAGTTGAGCTACCATGACAGCTGACATCATTGACCCATCCAACCAATTCATGACCACCTTCATAAAGCGCGATTCCGAAATCGCCTCCGTTTCCCATTAGTAAGATCACCTGCCCTGTGAAGTTCGTATGCGGCATTCCGTCTGAATCAGTGATGAGGGCATACCAGCCACCAACCGTAAAACCCTGGAAAAAATTTCGAGTTTAAGGGGGTATTCTAGTCTAGAAAAAAAAATTTTCGAAATTTTTTCTTGCATATTTTCATAGTTTAACTATTCAAGAACATGTCTATGCGAGGATCTTCCTAAATTCGAATTAGTTTTGGAGATATAAATATTTTGCTGAGCAGGCATCCAAATCGGTTGGGCTGCAACTAATCGAACAAAAGACATAATGAGTTCTCCGACTACCTGAATCTATATTTCTTAGTAAGCCCTTTTGTTCCTTTATATCTATCCATCTATATATATATATATATATATATATATATATTACAGGAAAACACCAGTTTTACGAGTCCATCAACAGCAAAATTGAGGAAATCAAATGATGAAGAAGTAATTATAAATAATAATTACGGCTACTGTGTTTTGGAGTTTTTCACGGTCTTTTCAGCAATTT